TTATCTATTTCAAGAAATGAAATAAAGCAAACTTGCCAGAGGCAGAAAGACAATAGTCAAAAGTCTATCTAACCAGAAAAGAAAATCATTCAAAGGACAGAAAGTTTAACAACTGACCTGAAATGCATTCATTAATTTATTTATGTCAGATATCAATGAGCATCTTGAGAAATAAAAACCAGAATATTTTGAATGAGGAAGATTCTGGTAGATGTTGTTTGTTTGTGAGTGTATGTGGATGTATGTGTGTGTGTGGATGTCACATGGTAAACCATATAAATAAGTTCACGAGTTAAGCTCTTAGAGACTTTTAATTGTTACCTTATGCATCTTATTAACTTTAATTTAATGAGAAATCAGTTAATTATTAATGATGGTAAAAACTCTAATTATACGAAAACGTGAATTGAGCATATAAATATAAGGGATAAATGACACTGAGTAAATCAGGGAATTTAAACTATAGAACTGCAACTAACGAACGCTCTGATGGCCTCGAATTAATCACCTGTTTGTGCTTTAAAAGTAAACTTGGGTGAAAAGGTAGAACATGAGTTAAGTTTCGATGATGAATGCAGTTCAGAATTTGAGGATCAAAAATCATCCAGCAAATGATATTAATCAAAATCCTAGCCATTAATTTCTGATCTTAAGTTTGACCGTGCCTTAATACACCATAAACTTAATCTATCTATAATTCTCACCAATCATTAACCTAACCTACTGTCATACCAACTCATTACTTTAAACAAAATTAACATTGGGTGAGTGCAGACACTTTTGTGAGCAGCTGGGAATTATCCTATCAACCTTTTTTGTTAGAAAGTATCCTGTTTAGTATTCCCACATCTTTCTGGACGTTTCACTGATTGAGCACAAATGGTCAATGAAGGTTCTCTCATTGACAGACTCGTCTGTCTGATGTACGATAGCTTGATTTCTCAGACGGGGGGGGTATAACTAGCTTCAAGGTTGTTGAAGAGTGCCAACAAGCAAGGAAATTAGGTCCAGTGTTTGTTGCCCAATGTCTAAAACTATCTAACATTAATCCAGAGTGGAAGACATTTATGGGCCGTTTAATTTTTTAACCACATTGCAAACTGAAATCCAGTTAGCACCAGTCCTAAAATAGGTCAATCATGAGCACATTTCAGTGCCAATTTTTCTAATTGCAGAAGTGAGTGACATGGGTTAAAATCCCAGGATCCTCTCCAAGTGTCCCTTACTGTCGACTGCCTCTAACTTTCTAACAACTTCACCTTCATTCACTTATTCTAAAAGCAGCTTATGTGACTAAACAAAATAAACTCTTAAGTGTAGGTTAGCAGGGATTTTGATTGCTTACAGAATTGATAGCGGGCACACGCCATCTAGAAAGCCATTCAAAAATCCGATGGTACTGGACAACTATTTCGTTCTAGTCCAGAACTTTTCATCAGTACGCACGAACGACGTTCAAAATCTGGACCTTCAGGATACAATGCGAGCTCATGGACCAATAAGCCACTGGGGACCGAGTCAATGGTTTATGAACTCCATATTCTGAAAGCGGGATCCGCCAAGTGAGGTAAGAAGACATTTAATCGCCCCGATACTGACTGGTGGATGCCTTAATATATGTGTTATCAATTGGTATAAGGAGGAATTCATGGCTCAGGCCCAAGCGGCTTATTGGTCTCCGAGCTTACTCAGCAATTAGTAGGTCCTAGGTTCAAACCGTGATGTGTGCGTACTGATGAAGAGCCCCAAACTATAAAGTGACGGCAGTCCAATACTCTTAGGTTTACCAATGATTTTGTAACTGATGTAGGCTCGTAGTCAACTCCAGAACACTAGGATCAATAGGCTAAGATTTCTGGTGCAAAGAGTAAGGACTTTTCTGGGTTGTTGAAGTTATTGCTTTCCATTAACCCGTGACTAATCCTGTTTCTCTGGGTGTTTTCCCTGCATTCGAAATCTGAATAAAATGAATTTGAATGTTTTGAATGTATATTCCTTATTCATGCATAAAAGCTCAGTAATGTTGTTCAGCTACCGTTGACATTTTAAGTGGAAGCAATAAAGCCTTCAAACACATCTTAAACTTTCTTGACAGATGTTGGCAATCAGTGGGATACTAGAAGTACATTTCACTCTATATAGAACTCCTCAGCTAGGTATACTAATAATTTAGTATGTGACAGTATTCTGGTTGAAGCATGAACTGACCATCCAGTGAACCATACAGAATTATGAACCACATCCTGTTCACTGGGTCATTAACTGTGATTTCTACCGGGAATTATGGATTTCCATTTCTCTTTCAATTGCAGAAAAATCATCGATGGCTTTTAACACATAAGCGCTTCTATGGAAGACGTCCTTAGTTATAATAAACACTTTTCGGGCGTTGCTTTGCATGAATTTAATTGATTGCAAGATTGTTCATGAGCCGAATTCAGTTAGATTACAATTGAAAACATTCCAGGGAACACTTAAGGGCTATTTCGTCGTTGTCCATAACTCCTCAACAAGAGGTTTTCTCTATCACGTATTGGCAGAATTTTGAATTGATGAGCTGCCTATTCAACTTGTAATCTGAAGGTCCTGGTTTCTTCCTCTTGTGCGTCCATGTCTGCGCTGTTATGAAGAGTCTTAAACAAGGACGGAGGAGCTGTCCAGTACTCTCTGATGACTTTCAAAAATTGAATAATGGAAAAAAAGTTTCGGTCTTTTTTCTGCATTTCACGCGAGAAACAAAATTGTCACAAAGAAACACCAGTACATTATTCAAGAAAAAGAAGACACGTTTAAACTTCGTTAAACACACACTCACACACACGTTCACACGTTATTCACCAGAAGAGCTATGTACAGCTAAACTCAGCAGCAATTGGCAATAAATATAGAGGAATTACATGTTATAAAAAAAACTGCAAGAGACACGCTATATTATCTTACTTATTGTAAATGCCATTACTCCCACTGTAAACAGAATTGGTCAGAACAGCACTAATGATAATAATAATAATAATGATAATTAATAATTAATGTACTTTAATTACGACCGGCTTCTTTTTGCCAAAAGAAAACATAATGCAGTTATTTGCAATTGATAGTGTTCTCTGAGCTCCTTGGTTTAATTGCGGAGATCAGAGAACACTATCAATTGCAAATCATCCACCTGAGTTACAAATCTTTTCTATTATAATGCAGTTATTTTCACTTATTTATGGGCACTGAAGACATGCGTCTTTTGTGTGTTAATCGTTCTAGGTGTCTTGCTCGTCTGCTGGTTTAAGCGACATATTAACACTAGCGGACAAGCTAGCTTTTACTGATAATTCGTATGTATGGGAGGAATCAAAATGAGAGAGGTAAGAGTTAACCAATCACTAAAGGCGAAGAACAATTTTTGAATAGACTGGCACACCGAAAGGTTCACCAGGGCGAAATGTGAAGTGAGAATTTGTAACCGACGGGGTCCACCAAGTCAGGCAAGAGGACTGTCAGTCACCTATGCCAATGGCTGGAGTTTGCGCCTAATATGTACATCATGAATGCACAGAAGTTGTAATACGCGGACCATTGAGTTAGACACATAAGGAGGTGTAGACTGCCTGATTTAAGACTTCAGCATGCTAAAGTCCAATAGATGGAGACTATTGGTGATATACCTGAAAGTCATTCTAAACTACACCAACGCATAGCCTTTGTAATTTCCCATGTTCACTAAACACTGATGTCTTTCAATGTCACTATTCTTTCCTTCTGTAGTGAACGTCTACTAATTTTTATTTTTATATCTGTTTGCTTTACCTGGTGTAATTCATGGAGTGTTACTAATTTTTTAGAGCGAAAAATCGAAAACAAATTGCCTGATTGGTTCTGCTCCGTCACTCATTGAGAACGCAAACACATCAGGTGATTAGTCCTAAATGGGGCGAAACACTAGGGATTCTGCTGCTGGTCGCCAATGATCACTCACTACCTGTAGTGCAGCAGATAGTTATAATCAAAAGTGCTTTTGCATACAGACCAATTCAAACCTACTAAAAATTTAAAATTGGAGTATCTGAATAAGTGAATTTTCTTTTTGTCTTAACACTAATCTTCCATCCACATTCCAAAATAGCAAGCGAATATGGGGGTCTCTTCATCAACGGCCAGCTATCAATCATAGTGTCATGAATACATTTCCCCCTGCTACATATTTGCCTTTACCCAGATGATTTGAAATAGTAGGCCTGAAGTCTGTCATACGAAATACTACTACTACTACCCAAATGTCTACTTCAGCAGTAATTATTAACCATTGCATAGACAGTAGTAGTAGGCAGACCAGAAAAAAGACTGCAGAAGATCTGGATTTTGGAGATGATTTATTTCTCATATCAGGAAAAACGAGACCTGTCTTCATCTATCTGAAATCGTAACGGAATCTATGAACAAGGAAATTCGGATTTCGAACACCGATACGAAGTTTGTCCTTCTGTATACTTCATTAACTTGGCGCACACGTCAGAGTAAGCATTTCCAATAGGCAACTGCAGACTTTCACCAACAGGTACCTTCGATTTTTATATCCGAAAAGGATTAACAGCAGAAAACTGTGGGAACGAACCAACCAATGGAGATGGATCGAATACTTCTCGAGAAGGCCGTTGGGTAACATTGTTCTCCAAGACCCCAGGTGAAACCCAAAACGGTGAGTTAGATGTCTGACTGTTACAAGGAAGAGGTCATGTGAAGGAGCAATGGGAGCCCAAAGGCAATCATGGAGTTGCTTGAAGGTGACTCTAGAGAACAGAACAAAATGAAGACGTGCTGTTTAGGCCTTATGTTCTATTTGGAACCCAACAGAATGATAATAAACTAATTGTTATCTCTAAAGTTCGACACCAGACTGATAATGTGAAGGAGGAATAGTAGAAACATTCACGTTTTTCAAAAGATATCTCATGAATAAATAAACAAAAAAATTAAAATTATTGTTTCTTATTTAAGACTATTTAACTTACTTGGTGTTGTCAATATACTCGCTGTAAGAATAAGTGAAGATATGAAGACAATAACCAGCAAAGCGAGAAGTATCCCCTTCCAGTTTCTTTTCTGTGGTGCGTTCGTCATCAGTTCCTGTGAACACGTTACAAAAAAAAGGGCGGTAAAAGAAAACGGAATTAGTTTTCCATCAAGTCCAGTAAGTTGAAATCTTTCTGTAAAATGTGCCAGTCATTATCCCCTAAACGAAAAGTTTCTTCCTTGATTATTCAGAGGAAGGATAAAAGAACCTTGTAAAACTAAAATAGAAACCAACAGAGAAGAGTATACATTCGTGGTGTGATGTAGTGCGATGGGTGCGACAGCATAGTATAAGCAAGAAGTCTTTCCAGAATAGTTAGCTTAAGAGGTTAACTCGAATGGTGAATGTGAAAACGGCATGGATATCATTGAAAGGAGGACAAAGGCATAATTGTATCTATGATGGAAAACTTCAACCGCCAACCGTGTCAAAGAATAATTTTGAAATTAGATCCTGTGAGGAAATTTAACCAAACTTAAGAATACATAAAATGATAATAATAATAGTAGTATGAGATGCAATAAAATATTTGTAATTATAATCCATCTACTCGCATGATGGAGCATTTACCAAAGTGGTTGAAAACACCTGAAGTCAAAGTGTCGAAAACCTCGAAAACATAGCGTCAAATGGACTACGGACATGATATCGACGCTATCAAGTCATTCACTGTCGCCAGGCAGCAGATAAAGAAACAGGAAGATGCTTGCAATTATAGAGGCCTGTGAAAGTGCAGTTTGTAAATTAGGTCTCCGTGTACAGAAATGGTCATCACTCTCTATCTACCATGTTAATGTGTGTTTACTTATCAATATTAGCAACACTTAATTATGCCTCTTATTAGTCATCCTGATTGATTTAAAACTATCTTTTATCAGTAGCATTATCTTAACTCATCTCAGCAATATTATTGTGAGTACTACTACTAATATTGCTCAGTTCGCAATTCTTGATACATCTAATTTCTTCTCTCTTATGACTAATTGTTTATCTAAGTAATGTAATTGAAGCGTAATGCATTTTATCTTAATTTTAATATCTCACAATCCCTGTACCCATATCTATTTCAGCATGACCTGGAAAACATTCACGCTTGTTGTTTCGCATGATTCATTCAATCTTACATCTTCCAATTTATTTCCGATAGGCTTTTTTATCCCTGTATGTAGAGTATTCAGTTGAAGAGGAGTTCTACCGAAATTTGATGAATTCATCAAAAATCCTGCTTTATTAACCTGCTCTTTTGCTGGTTTTAAAATCACAATTAAATATAAGGTATCAAGAGGCACAACAGTAACTGCAATATTTTACATTTTCAACTTTCTTTTTCTCTACCCCTACTCGATTTAATTTCTACCCGTCACTACCACTGTTACTGACTTGATCAACGCTCAATTTCTAGTCATTTATGTTACGTCATCCAACTTATTTGCTCAATTTTAGTTCTAATCTAAATGGCATTATTCTCTACTCTACTTCTACTTAGTTTCTACCTGTAAGTACCTGTGCTTCTACCCTGACTTAAGTTGAAACATTTTAGTCAATTATATTACGTCATCTAACTTACTAACTCAATCTTACTTTAGTTGCTGTCCAATTAACCTTGTTTCTATATGAGATCATTCTTGTATTACCTGATCAATTATCTAAACTTGACAAACCTCATTTACACAGAAACACAAATAATTATATAAACATTCAGTTGTACAGCTATGTAAATGAATTCACGGTCGAAAAGAGTCTCTTTACTGATAGTCTCCTCTTTTTCATATGACTCAATGGGGATTTTCAAGCCACTCAAAACAATAATTGTTATATATAGAATAATTCTTAGGATGTAAAGGTGTTAGAAAGTGTTGTATAAATATAGGGTTAGTAGGCATTTATAAAACGTTACTCGACATGGTGTGACATTTGATAAGATAGAATTCAACACTGCAAAACCATTTTTGATTTATAATGACAAATGGAAACAGTTTACAACGAGAATAGTAATAGTAATTATAATAATAATCGTAGTATTCGACACTTGTAACTAGTGTGATGTGTCTAGCCCTCTGATTGGTGTAGACTGAATTCTATCAAGGTTGCAGATACGCCTTGCTGATGAGTGCCAACTAGCACGAAACCCAGGTCCAAGGCTTCTTGCCGATTGCCTCCAACCATCTAATACCATCAAATAATCGTAGTAATTAGGAAAAGGATTCCCGTTACAATGCAGTGATACTCAGTCCTGCAGTTAATAAATTACAACTTCTGCTGATTCATAAAAGGTGGCACAAACGCCAATCAATGACACTGAAAAATTATGATTCTCTTGCCGGACCTGCGTAAAAGTTAAAATTTATGAGCTACCGGATTTAATCCTATTGGCCGAATGGTCTAGCCTTGTGGACGGAATGTCCCGGGCTCGAAACATGGCTGTTATGTGTTACTGAGGAACTTTGATTTAAAAAAGAAGTAACAAAATAACTCCAGGTCCAAGAGAAACAATGACATACGAAAACTGATATAAGTATAAAACTTGGGCATTCTGGCAGAGAGTAGAGTATAACTCCATTATGGATAAGATTTTATTTTGATAATTCACACAGTGTTTTACAGTTATATTAACTGATGACGTTTTGAACACAAACTATAGCTCATAATCATATCAAGTTACTCACACAACTTTTTTCTTTCATTTATATACATGTGTGGAATCGATTAGATATTGGAATAAAAATCAATATAGGATAATGTACATTCAGAAATAATAATACAGGTGTTATTGATCAATTACAATCAGATGGGAAATAAGACGAGTGTTTTCATAGTCATAATAAGTTACTTATTAGAATGTTGTGACATGCTTGAATTGAAATAGAATTTTGTGATTATTTATTGTCCTTCTCTGATTTGACTGACTGGTGGTAATAAGACCTTTCATATCTCTGGTGTTTGCATTGAGTCATTTCAATCTCTCTCCCCACCTACCTAGATTACTTTTTAGAATTTTAACCCTCTCCCACCCGACTGTGTGGTTGTGTTAATGCGTGAAGTGCAATTGCTGAGCTTTACCCCTAATCACTTATCTTCTCGGGATCAATCATTCTCACCTTAGCTGAATTCCTATGTTCCGACAACCTGACCACCGCCGATCTACTAGTTTGACCTATGTAGTTGACTTCAGAGTCATTGCATGGTATTTTGTAAATTATATTATTTTGTCTAATTGGTTCAACTGGGTCCTTTAACCTACACAGCTTGTCCCTGAATGAGTTTGTAGGTTTGAATGACATATGAAAAATAGTGGATGAAATTGCATAGTCGAAAGTCATAATTAATTGATGCATAAACATCGAGGAATAAATGTTTGGAAACAAGAAAACAAAAGATCAAAACTGGATCACAAAAAATAAAAATAAAACAATTACATAGAGTTAGTTGTACAACAATTCAATGAAATAAAATTGTTACTAAGGTCCTGTTAGTAGTTAAAGACGCTGGATAAAGCGCTACTTTGCCTCATTTTTGTGCTTATCAGTTCATATATAAACGGGTTATTCACAGTCAAGAAGAAACGTATTTCTTGTAATGAATTCAAATAAGTATGTGTTATTTTAAAGAATAAACCAGTTAAGAAAGTTAAGTATTGAGGGGACTTTAACAAAACTGGCTGTTTTAACAGGACACTAGTTAGTATTGAATGTAATCTGCCTAGTCCTTTGTATAGTACAAACTGAATTCAAGCTTGCAATGTGTAGCATAATACTAGGTGGTTTAATGCAATTAGAAAGGAGAAATCCTTTAACCTAGGTTTCGTGCTAGTTGGCACTCATTAGCCGGCAAGACGTGTCTGAGATTCGAACCCACGTCACCTGGTGCTGCTGAGCTCTTCTGTCTAGCCATTCACCTCCTATAGGACTGTATCGGATACTTTGATTGGGTGAGGCCGGTTCAAATCTCAGGGGGAATTTGATTTCCTTCACGGTTACAGAGACGCTTTCCTAACTGGTCAGTGTCAGCGCGCACAAAACCCAGGTCCAATGCTTTCTGCCGCTAACCTTCAACGTAGTATATTATAAAACACAAATATCATTACATCTTACCTATCTTGTTATAAAGTAACTTTAGCATACAGTTGGGTTAAACACTAGCAAGCTACTTTTATCTTAAATTCCCACATTTACAAGATTAATTGTTACAAAATAGAGTTTGCAAACAAAAACACAACTAAATATACTTCAACATATGAAAATTTAAACGGAAAAATGATATTGAGACCAATGCATTTAGCTCACATATAACTTTTTTTAAAAACAGGCTGATTAAATCGTGTTAGTCATGTAATTGTCTTGACTCTGTTCTGCACCATAAGCTGTAATGTTAATTTATTTTCGATACGCTTCATAGAAAAATGATTGGATGGCAATTTAGTAATTAATTATTCGTTACAGTGCATCGGTGGCACAGCTGTAGAATGCTCACCAGCCATGCAGGTGGTCTGGGGTTCGATCCCCCACTGGCGCACTCTTAAAACTTTGCTAAGCCAGTAATAAAAAACTGGTAAAGAGAAAAGGTTTGGCATGAGGCTAGTAACCCCATTTCGTAGAAATAAACACAACTGCTACCTAAACTTCAAGCTTGCAGCTTGAAGCCAAACGTTCTACTGGCAACGTAAAAAAAATTCGTTACATTGTCAAACATCGAAATGGGAAACATCCAAAAATTAGTCTGAAGGTAGTTCACAAAAGAATACTTTGTCCAGCATTCACGAAGACATTATGAGAGTGTTTTAGTTTATACATGTCAGCGATTTCATCCTTAAGAGTTGCTGTACAATGGTATTTATATACATACGTTTATATAGTTCATAATAATTATTCAATTTCAAATAATAACGAACTGATATGAAAATATGAAGGTGTGTACATAGATTACAAGGGGATTTGAAACACAGTTGTGGCTTTTTGCCACTTAATGGCGACTTAATGTCAAGCCCATGAATTCTGACTTTCACCAATCCACTCTGTGTCCAAAACGCGATGAGTTTGTACTGTCTACGAGACTT